TTTTAACTCCGCCTGTACGAAGCCTCGTCTGCATGTCTATTTTTGAACGTAGAAGAGTTGTTTTGGCTTCCGTTGACTTGTCTACCCGTCAAACTACTCATGAGGCCCATATTTCTGTTTCGCTCTCGTCCAACGAACTGTCCCGTGGTACATCGTTCGTTTTTCCGCATGCGTGCCCTTCAGAATCTAAACAGATAATTCTTCTGTATGGTGACGCTAAGGTGGCTTAATAGTTCACCTTAAAGACTCAGTTAAATGGTCTGGCTGACAATAATGATATATGCAAGCAACTATCTCAGACCTGGGAATATCCGCACAAAACGAGTCAATGTTAATGTGGAACGCATTAACACGTGTTCCAAAATGCAACAGGGTTCATTAGGACTTATCGTGAAGTGCGCTGTGAAAAGGTATCAGATTGGGTCAATTTCGTCCATCAGCTGTCGAGGCAGTGGGATTTTGCGCTTGGAAAACCACTTTCCGCATGATATATACTTGGAGAGTCTCCAAAAACCCGGTAATATTCGTGTTCCAGTTTCTACTAGCTTAACTCACCTGTAGCACAGCTCCACCCCATCCTGGTCTAAAATGACATATTCTGGGACTGTTGCAATACGCCTGCGAAGTGTATATATCTATTACTGCTGGATCTCCTGAGAGAAATCCAGTGGGATGTAAGCTTCGCGCTATGAAGGTCTCTCCGCTTTGTTTAAAGCATAAGAAAATTGTATATGCACGTTGACACTTCACTCCATCAATATCGGCTTTTCAATTTTGGTCTGAATTTGGAGAATTATGCCTGCCAGTTAGTTTGATGAATTAGGCAATTAGGTCGCAAAGGTTTCACCGCCAGTCATGGTGGCAGCGTTTGTGCTTTGTTGAGACACAGCAGAGCACAACGTCGGATGAAATGTCTGCAGTTAAAATTTGGACAAGGCCAATCGCATGCACTGCTGATGGTCGCTAGTGAAAGCAGAACACGAAACCAGGGCACCCTGTGGTATGAACTAACAAAATATCGGAGCGACCGTGATAGCCTTCAAATTAGGGTCCTCTGAGTGAAAATTTATCGAATTTGTTATTTATTTTTAATTCATTCCTACTCAGTTGCCTTGCTGGGCAACCATCCTCCCATTTTATTTGTGTCGTCTGCAGGCTTAATGCGTAATACTTAAACATGACCATAAACAACGATTGTAACACAAGTGTTTTATTAGTCTTGTGGGGATAATTTTACATTCCCAAATGAGCTTAGTTGTTTCGATGAAAGCACACGGTGTGTTTGTTGTTCAAGCTAATGGCAGCTTGTTACCAGACTGCATTAAACACAAGGGACATCTCGAGGGAAATGAGGTGGTTAGACCTCACACAGAAGCATGTGAAGGCGGCCACTGGCGCAGTCTGAAAAATAAACCCATGTCTTTTCACAAAGAGTTACCTGAATGGTGGGTTTGGCATGCCGTAATGACAAATTCAAGTACATCCTGTATACATAGAATTCTATGTATACTCACTCTATCGCTGAATAAAGTTTAAATCAATAGAAGAATCATATGTGTTGTTTCTGTCTTGTGCGGATTTCTTAATTTCTAAGCTGGTTGTATTGCTGTGATAAATTTCCATACTTTTTTAAATTGTGTAAATAGAAGTTCCAGGATGAAAAGTCCATATCAATGTGGCGTAGAAGGAAAAGCACATCTCAAGTTGGACTCAAAATACTAATTTGACATCCATTTTCGCAGCTAACCATTAGTTGGTTCTCTATTTTGCAAACTGCACAATCTCTGGTACAAAATGTTGAAGACCTTCATTCAGTAAAAATATGCGTTCCAGCTAAGTTACTTTGTGGTTGGTCAGAGGGAGTTATCTTTACTGACCTTCCAGTCAACTGTTTGAGTCACCTCCATTGCAATGGAACAACGGTGTAGAAGTTACTTTACAGTTTTAGTCGGTTTTCTGTGGTCTATGTGCTAAGTGTTCTCACTGGCCTGCTTTTGAATATTTATATCAAGAAAACGTGACTGTTCGTTACATTCCAGTCCATCAGGAAGCTTGTCATTAAATTGAAACAAATTAAAACTACCCGGCGAGCCTGTTGTGCAGAGTATATCGCAGATATGCACGAAAATCTCATCTACTTGGAGAACATACAATGCAAACTCATGAGTAAGCGCTGGTTCACTCGCGAAACAATCTGCCAAAACGGGATGCATTGGACACTGTTATTAGTCCTGATTTGCTGTCGGCATATGGGGTTGATGAAACCGAATAGAACACCGTGGCTGGATGCCACTAGCTTCGCCACTAGAGTCACTCAAGTCAAAAATGTGATCTGCTGTCCCCGTGGATTTTTGCTAAGCAAGAAAATGATACACAGGGAAAATAAATAGTCTTCGTTGATCTTCAGACCCATAATGCGGTTGACGACCTTACAAGTACCTCATATGCATTGTTGTCAATTCGCTTTTGGTTGATCCTGACAGGCTGATAAGCCATCTTACCTTGGCAAGATGGGAAGAACTAAACACTCTAAGAATGTTTCTGAGAAATCGTTTGGCTTAATAGGCTTTTGAGAGTCTTTAGACTCAAGGACTCGGTGCATACCTTCGGCTAACCATCGGTAGCAATGCCCGCCCATTATTTAGGGTGTCCTTGTACCTTGAGTGCGGCTTTCCCAACCAGGTGCCTGTCATCTTAATCGGTTCTTCTTATATTATGGATTCGTATGATGGAATTTCATTCAACTTATGAATATATTCAGATTTAATAAACAAGAAAATTCTTGCACAATGCTCTGGCTTAGGTAGTATGAATTTATCATTCTGTTACAAAGGCTCCGGTGCCACGAAAAATGTTTTTGGAAACAGTTCCTCGAGCATGGGCTTCTGGTCGATGAGTTTATATCACTTAATGCAAATTCTATGGTTGACCAGTTAATCTCGGGAACTGGACATCCAGTTCAAGTTGAGGTCTGGTAATAATGCTTAGAATAAGCTTGATGTCCAGCTTTACCATAAACTTCTGTATTGGTCAGGAACTTCTTGCTTTTTCGATGTTGTACCGAGATGATTAGCGGAGTTCCTCTATCAGACATCAGTCTGTTTGGCAATAGCTGGTCGAACGTATGCTTTGGAATCTCAAGCCATCGGACAGATAGCGTTTCTAGGGCTACTGTGCACTAGGCCTCCGTGAATATTGAATGTTAACTCGCCACTTGTATGGCGACTTAATACGGTGGTCCTTGATTCTAATGCTTCGGGAACTGATCCTGGCTACCACAAGTTTCATGTTAGACCTTTGGCATTCGTGCAACTAAAGATACCCATGGTAGTCATTAGAGCTCGAGACAGCTCGGTGGTTAGGGCAGAAATTTACTGATTGGATGGTCCTGGGAGTGGTACGGCGCTAGGAAGATAAAGGGTTTTACACTTGAGCGATTATCATTATTTCCTGAACGTTATTAATTTCTGTCATTATCGTGGGTTTTCTTTTCGGCTTTAATTTTTTAGTGGGATATTAGTGAAAAATTTTAGTCTAAACTTCGTCTTCTCCCTTTTCACAAAATACAGATACTTGAAATGGTCATTCTGGGACCTGTCTGGTGCTTTTGTTCTTTTGAACCACTATACAAAAACTATCTCCACTTGATACCGGAATGCCAACTCTGCATTTTCTCATCTTCATGAACCAGGCAACCTAACTGTTAGCTCCAGAGTTTTACACGCTTTCCTATCATGTGCAGGGGTGGGTAGATAGAGTTGCTGCTTACATATTTTGTAATGCACCACTCACAAGGTTGCTGAAATTTCCTCGCCTGGAAACATCAAAACCGAGCGATTCAGCTGGGTTCCAGGTGATTCTCTCGAAAAAACTAACTAGTTTGCAAATGAGTGTAGAATCGCTAAAGACTTGTTATTTACCCACATAGCCAGACATCTAATTCATTCTTCGTTGGGTGCAAGATGCCGAACGTTAAGCAACTTGTCAATCTGGATCAAGTATTTTGTTTTTACTAAAAGCGCCTTACTTTATTTTTATTCGAGCTAACGCACACTTGTTTTCACAAAACCAATTTACATTTTCGTTTTGATGAATTCTGAGGCCGATCAGTTAGCTCGTGCCCCACATGTGACAGAGTGCAACGGAAACTGAAAAAAAATGATTTCACGATTCTTTTCGAAATGACTAAGTAGTAAGTACATCTTCGCTAGTAACCCATGTTAAGGCATTTGTGTACTAAAATTCACATTGTCTTGGGAGGTAACTCCGTGGTCATTTGTAATCAGTCCCAAACACTTGAAAGTCCGGTTCAAACTACATGTGAACAAATTTTCACATTTTTAGTCATCAAGGTGTTCTACAAGACTGTGGCTCTGAAACATTCTTTTTATGGGTGAAAAACACAAATATGAATGGTTGTTGGGTACCTTGCCTAACAACAACTTATGTTTCTACACCACCGTCAGTGGTTTATGAAAGCCAAACAGCAGAACACAAAATAACATCGTCAGACCAAAGCGGTGCAAACAATGGGTTTACAACCGCTGCGAACTTTGGTGAGATTCCGCATGTAGCTTTTTGACACACTGGTGTTACAGGAGTCGGTTAATACTGAAAATCGGAGAGTACATTTGGTGTCAATAAAATTTTATCAGCGTGTACTGAGTAGTATTCAACCACGTCTCTTTATGCGAGGTTGAAAGTTTTGGTAAAGTACAGGCTAAATCTTATGGGGGGTTGATATTTTTTGAAGAAAACAGTGTGTACAACAACGAGTGATGTGTACTTAATTAGCAGCTCGTTTTGTTGACAACACAGTCCAGGTGTTCCAAAATGTGGGATTATCAGGGAAAGTAATTATACCATATGTTTTCGTAAGTGGAATAAACCATGTGAGAATTGAGTGGATGAATAGAAAAAACGAACTCACTTGAGTTTACACCAAGAATTCTACACAGTGAGTTAACATTAATCCAAAAATTAAAATAAGCCATGACTGCTCAGGAACACAGGCAAGCGCAACGATCACTGATGAGGTACTTTTGAACTTGCCAGTAACAATGATAACCGTTTGCAGTGACGCTCAGCCGTTTTATCAGGCGCTTTGCCCGTCGACGACGTCTCTCTTCCATGGACACTCCTCTATCTAATGGGTCGTCATTGTCTTGCGATGAGTGGATCACTGGACTTGGCCAGTTACTCGTTCGCAGATGCAACCTGATTCGGGGCTGGTCAACTACACCAGCTGATCCATGTGTATCGCGTAAGCTTAAACGTGGGAATTCGCCAGTTTCCTGAGGACTTCTTAATGTTGAATCGTCCGGTTTCATGTCATAGAACTTTGACTGGAAATTATTGGTCGCCGTTCGTCTTCGATTACGCTGTTCTGCGGCCCTTTTTCTCGATTGGATATAAGCTGCATCCTCACACTTCCAGTGGAGAAGTTGTAGTGCACGTGAGCCAGATGGGCGACATTCCATACCTGGTGGCCATGAACATGAGTGCCCCTGACGATTCATACACACACCACGGCGAATCCATCGTGGCCAAAACAGCGGACCAAGGTCTTCCCAAATATACTCCATTTCACAAGTGGCTTTGTCAATTAGCCAGTTACGGAACAGTTTTATCTGGTCTTCAGATAGGCTGAAATGGCCACCCATTTCAGAGCGAAAGGTGAAGTTGAGCAGCTGCGCTTCATTGATTAGCTTCACGTCTGGTTGCATCACCGTTCCATCGACGTTGCCACCTATGGAGCCAGATACACCCCGCTGACGAAGAACACGAGGGGCAGTTTCTGAAGTCCAGTCCTTGTCCAAACTTCCCGCTAAAATTTTTCGGAGTTTTCGTGCCTTGAAAGGTGATACGTCTGGATGAAGGTGATTGATCACTTTGGGGTCAATTGGCTGCCCCATGATGCGCATGTTGACCTCGTTGTAACTTGTAGGATTTTTCTGATCCGTTGGCCAGTCAGGTGTCACTGCTTCAACTTTACTTTGCTTCACATACACCCCATTTTTGGGTTGGGTATCTTTAGGTTTTGCATTGAGTGAAGTAGAAGCTAAGGACCCAAGACTTATGTGACTGTGTGATGACGAGGTAAGACCAAGCCCCCCAACCTTGAAATTTAGATCACTTTTAAGCGTCCTGTTAGACACATCCCTTTCGCTTGGACTGTTCATTCCACTCTGTGGAGGATGAGCTAGTTTAGTCATTCGGATTTTAACCTTTCGTTGCGTGTATGAGTGATCATAGAGTTGTCCATTTTGGGTGAAGTCCGACGTAACTGCCACTAATCCCAGCTGAAATATCCACAAAATTGTCAAAAGAATATGTGTGTACTTGGATGAGATTCGAGTGTTTGGTCCCATGTCACAATATTAGGCTGGTGGTTTCAGGTTGGTTCAGTTGTTGACTGGGAGGCCTGCTATGTCGCGTGGTCAGATTCATCCCAAAGACGATGATGGAGTTCACATGGTAAAAAACACCATAACCACCGCATTCCCCTAAACCGCGGGTTAGACTGGGTGGTCACTTAAGAGAAAGCCGAATCATAAGAGGACTGTCTACGAGCTGGACAACCGTCGAAGAATGCTGACCAATCAGAAGGCAGTCCAAATAATCGTGCACGTCTGTGCGTGCATGCAAGTGTGTGTGATTTGTGAAGGCATATACAGCGAGACAATTCCACATACATGGATACAGTCCTAAATTCCTGTGAGTTCAAGAATGGCTGAAGTCGACATTTTATCTCCGCGCCAAACATGAGGATAACTGCATGACAGCTACAGAAATGTGCAAAGCAGTGATGACTGTTTAGACATAGCGGTGATTTACCTTAAATGGTCAATAGGTTAGGTCTTACCCTATAAGACTACGTAGAACCAGCAAATAAAATGGTAGATACTTACTGGTTTAACCCTTACCATTCGAAATCCTTCACTCAAAAGATGGACACGCAGTGATGACTTCGAAGGGGAGCATCGTTTCAAGAGTACGCTAGCCTTAAAGTACCACCACGCGTCGCACTCAGAAACATTGAGCAGTAATATCTTGACAACTCAGTTCATGAGAAAGGGTTAGAGACAACCGCACCTGAGATTCCGTCTTTACTGCAAGTGAAATTGCTGTGTTTCAGTTCGTTGTCATAAGAGAGCATTGTAAATTTGCGCAAGCAAAAGGCTGAAATGTTACCAACGGAGGTCATGGCTTTCTCTAGGAAACTGCCAGATGGCCTAAATGTAATGTTCCTATGACGGAATTGCTGGCTTAAATAAATTGTGAAGCTGATTTGACTATGGGAGTCAAAATGAGTTACTTTATTTTAATTCGTTTTCACTTCTTGCATAAATGTTTTTGCAATGATTCAAAGCTTTCCATGTCCTAATTTAGAATAAAAACTGAATTAATTTACAAATTCGAATTCTAAAGCGGTGTTTACTATTCTTTGGACTTTAACAGCTCGTGCTGTACAGCTTGTACTTTCTTTATAGAATGAGCCGGACATTTCCATACAAACTATTTGAAAATCAGACAAGGAGGCGCCACCTGTATGTCCTGCTGAATAAACAAACTAACTACCATTTATCAGTAGTTATTCCTCTCTGACAAACGCCCTTTAGAAGATAAGAATGTTCAGGAAGTAAACCGATTCTCGTTGGCCTTAAGCCTATTGGTAACTCCTCTGTTGATAGAACACTCTGAGGTAAAACGTTGGACAAAAATAGGGGCCCGCAGAAAGCTCATGCTATGGATATTTTTGTCTTCGAAATTCCAAAGACAAGGTCGACTTGTAGCCAATCATACCTGATAAACAACACAACTTCAAGGTTGACTTTGTTTTTTGGAAGGCTGTTGCTTTAGTAATATGATATGTAATCCGGTACACTATAATCTGACATGAATAACAGTACTTTATTGCTCATGGCAAGCGGTTATCCAGAGACCTTTGTAGGCAAACACATGTCCGTCTCATTTTGTGGTCATCTATGGCCGTTGCAAACAAACCGATTCACCTGAGTGGCTTATGGGATCGAGCTGCTGGCACCTAGTCAACTGCATCTTGTTTCAAATTTCGACAACATGAGTTTCCGGCTGGGAATCTGTATTTCTAGTTTACAGCCAACACTTTAATCTACTTAAACCCCAAAGATAAAGTGCCGGTTATTGCTAAGAACATCAGTGTGGATTACTTTCCTGTAGTTGTTCAGCGGAATATTCTGGGTGCACGAAATGTCAACTTGCTAAACAAATATGTAAACTACTCATCTACCGAAGCATCACTGGACCCAAGCCCAATTGCGTCCAACATTGGCACGGTTCACGTGATAAATCCAAGCGAATAGTTCCAAGTTATCTACCAATACCTAATAGACTACCGCTTGACTACAGCTGAAGCAGTTGCATTACGATTGTGGAATCGGGTACTATGCTATCCAAAACGGCCCCGCCGAGCTCGAAGTATGTCTTATTCATGAGAAATACATCGACAGACTCAGCGCCCAAAAAACAATCCAGATTATTTTCATAAAGGAAACTACTCACAAGGTTGCTGAAAACTCTTTGACAGCCCACGACCGGTTTCGCCCTTCTTGGGGCTCATCAGGTAGGCGCAGTCCCCGAGTTTCCGTCAACCTTATGATCTACTTGAACCCAAATTGCACTGTTTTCGAGAAATACACTCATCTGCAAATCAATTTGGTTTTCACGGGAGACTCAATCGAATCTCTCGCTTATGATGTTCTCCAGCTTGAATCTCTCGTTTATGATGTTTTCCAGATTATATTCTCCAGATGTTATGTTCTCCAGATTATATCAAACCATCTATTTAGAACCGACTGAGTTTTCCTAAAATCCATTTGTTTCTGTTCCCAATGGTTTCAGTTTAGCAGCAAATCTAAACTCTTTATTTCAGTACTTACCCCTACTGACCAAACGATGAGATCCCAAAAACATCGATCATTGTCAATCTGTATTATTGTTGAATTTCTAGGAATATTCATGCACACCGAAGTGTATCTGCATTCTTGCATGTCTAGGTGGCTCGTTCCTGGTTTAACGTGCGCGACAAATTGAGGATATAATAATGAGTAATCGTGTCCTGTGATAATACTAACCGAAACGCCGGCTGGCCAGCTAATTAGCACTTATGTCTCGAAATTAGGTGCCAGCCTTTGTTTTGTTGTTTGGATTGCAGGTTATTACATTTCCATTGTATGGCGACTAGATCAACCATAAAGGACACATCATTATTAAGCATGCCCCCTGACTTATTGCGCCCAGCCACTGACTCTCATCATAGAGTATAATATAATCTCGTAAGACTAGAATTGCTTGTTGTGGAGAGAAGTGCTGAGCGTAGATTGTTTACCTAATGGCAAGTAATTTACTAACTTGCCGAATAACTTCCACCGCCCAAAACAAGAGGAACCTATTCCAAAATTAGACCTTACGCAGTGAAAGGAACCTGAGGAACATGACAACGATTTCATAAGACCCTTACTTCAGGAAAGTCTTATCATGAGTTTAACCAGGAAAACTCTTCAAGCACAGTCCTGTTTGTGACGAAGCAACTCCCTGGCATGGCGAGCGACAAACATTATTCGTCACTAAAATACAGGAATTCCCAGCTTTGTGGAGGCAGTCAGTGTAGCATTAGGCAGCCCATACCACTGTCCCACATGCTGTTGGCTTATCCCTTTCGAAAGGCCAGGCGCTTGACAACTGGCGAAAATTTTTTACAATCCATCGTTTTTGACGGGTTATAACAGCAGTTTGGAACTGCAACTTTTCTCTACGATTTATTTAACCTTTAGGAACGAATAGTGGGTGCCTTGCAATGAATTATGCGCTGTTCACTGCTGTTAGATAACAGCATTGCGCCAAATTACCAACTTGAAAGTACGTGGTTCGAACCCAACTCCGGCATCCCGACTGTTTCTGTCTGGGCCTGGGCAAACAGACGGTATCTCAGCCCTCCTTCATCTGGATAGCACGTCAGCCGGGCACCTAGAGGGTGATACAGCTGGTCGATAATTTATTACTATTCCCATTATTATTAAATAACCCGTCCATATGTTTCCTTCATTTATCATAACTAAATACCTTTGCATGTGAAGCCGTAACTGACACCAAAACTGTGTGTTGAACAGGAAACTAGAAATTCTACTAAGACTTTGGATAACCCGGCAACACCCCCAGCCAAGATAGCACTTCTTGACGTTGCTAGGCCGGCTAGTAGCGTTGTCTACATACCACCTGTGGGGCAAATGTGGGTGGGGATATTGTGCGCCGCGAGTGAGAGTTTGTTGAGAGGATGGTTGTGGTGACAACGTTCTGACAGCCCGGACGTTCAGCTTCCGTTTTATCCATGCTGACCGGCAACATCGTCATCCGTTTTTACCTTTTAAAATAAAGCTTTCAGCAGAGTCGCAGAGTTTACCGATTGCACCACATATAGTTAGAGGCTGACATGCATGGATGCTGAAGCAAGCTGTTCCGGATTCACCCCCTATACGTTCTTGCACATATTTGCATTCAAGTGGGGCACCACCGTGTTTGTTTCTTCATCTACTGCACGCACTGACTCACGAATGCATGCAAGCAAACCAGGGCACAGATTGTGGCACAACGTTCAATGTTTGGATTTGTGGCGACAGTCCGCTTAACGAGCTTGTCCTTCCCCATCATCACCGTCACAACATGAATAGAACGACACACAAAAACAGTCGCGTGGCGGCATTCATTTTTAAAGGTCACCAAATGTCATCGGCGCCAAAACACACCAGCTGTTTGGTTGGATGGTTGGAATACTACTGCCTCGAACACATATTGTGCGGGGAAAGCTGTCGGAACAGTCTGTTGGATAACAAGGAAGCGCGGTCGTCTGCTTTTATTCCATCTTTCAACACAACTTGACAACATTTTTCTCTAAGGTAGCCGGAGTAATTGACGGCGAACCTATGCCTATTCCCATAGGCGTCAAGCCTTGGTGTGTTGGGAGGAGAATAGCTTGCGTTCAATAAATTTGAGTTATTTATTCCGTAGTCCTGTCGGGCATACTACTCCACTTTGTTCAGAAATTCAGCTTCAACAACAAAAGCCTGTACCTAGGCGAGAACAGAAAACCAGTATGGACAGCAAAATTTCTGCCTGCGGCACATTAGTTCGCTGTCGTAACCATTAGCGCAGATTTGTTGTGAAGTAGGTAACAGAAGCGTGTAGCAGGATTAATCCCCTTGAACCATAATCCACCTAATAAAAGCCTTATTTTATGGTAATGAGGAATGTGTCTGAAGCAAGATTAAAATTCACAAAAAATGCACCGAAGCTTTTGAAAAGGAACTCACACGTAGAAAGCGGTGCCGTTTTT